GGATGCAGGTAGCTATACGTGCCTCTGGAAACTTGCAAACAATTGTTTTTATTTTTTTGCCTAATGCCCTGGCTTTTGTATTGTAATCCACATTAGACTGTTTTTGTTACCTGTTTTGACTCTACCCATTATGAAGTTCATAATAGTAGTTCTGTACGTTTTTTTCTGGACAGCAGCTTAACCATTGCTTGTGCTGAATAAGAGCCACAGCTAGTGAGTCTTGGGATGAATCCAGGGTCAATGCTTCTACTCTGGTGCATAAAGTACGAAGGCTTCTTAATATCTACCTTGAGTCTGGATTTGTTGTTCTTTGTGCTGGGGCTGCTGGCTGAGGAGCCATCTCCGGACAAGCTAGAGCACAATGCTGCTGTTCCTTGAGCATGGAAGAAAGCTTAACCTAAATGTTCTGTGCTATGCAAATTTTCGGTTTGATGCTGAAACAGTGATTCTGAAACAGAATTAAAAGTTCTGTCCTGCTAAAATTAAAAACCTGCGCTCATGAGTAACCCTATGGTGAGACTGTTGAATGACTTATTGCTTTTTTGGGTCTGATTCATAAAAATGGGCCCAGAGGAAATAGGAAAACATGCAATTCATAATAACCTCTCCAGAGAATAGCTTGTTTCTTTTTCTCCTCCAGTGGTATTGTCAGGCTTCAGCGTACTTAAAAACAGACTTGGCACAAAGCATAGATATGTTGGTGAAAGGATGGAGAGAGGTTCCCCCCCTTAAAGGATGATGATGATGACTTCCAATGAAACCCCCTTAAATTGGGATCCTTTTCAATGTCTGTTGCTGTAGTTTTGAAGAGCTTTGTTTGCCTACTTATTCCAGATCTTCAAGAACAGAAGGCAGTATCTGGATTTGCTGTGCAGCAGCAGGAGAATGAATGAATATTAGAATCATGAAGAGCTACAAGTACTCATGTAGTGTCAGGAGAGTCAGCTATAATTCTCTTACTCTGCATAGTCCTGGGGAAACAGCTGGAGCATTGTGTACAATTTGCTGGGTATACTTTGGGCATGATGTGGACTATGGGGAGATGCCAAAGAACAGGGAGAACAATTGGAGATCTTGAAAGCACAACCTCAAAGCAATTCTCATGACTAAATGGGAATTAAAATTAAAAAGCAACGGAAGCTTCAAAGTATATAGAAAGACTCATGCACAGAAGGAGGAAAACGCTGGTGTCCAGGATAGTGGAAGTAGGATGGGAAATAATGCCCTTAAGTTGTGACAAGGACGCTTAGGAAAGTTTTTTTTTTTTTTTTTTTTTTTAGTGGTAAGGATGTTGGTGTAGTAGTCTGAAGCACCTGGGAATATCATGGAGTTCCTGATCACTACAGGTGGTAAAGGCTCAGTTACCTGAACATGTTAACAAATGACATACCTTGTGCTCAGCTACCAGCGGTGTCTGATATTTGATTAGAACATCATTTCCTAACTGATACTTCCCTCAAATACTTTGAGTTGTGGAAAAGTAATAACTGCATCTTTTCAGGCATCAAGCCTTAGAATAGAGAAAGTATTCTAAGGTAAGCTACCTCCTCGATTGACTTCATCAAATTTTGGATTTGAGGATGGCATAGAGACATCAAACCAGGCCGAAATGGCTGAGGAGTTGAAGTCTGAGACCTGAGCTGAGAGGGTGCTTTGAAATCACGTGAGATGAAGTTGATGCAAGTGTAATTCTCATGGTGTTTTTAGTTCACATTAACCCCAGAGGGAAATCCAAACAGACTTTTCCCAACTCTGAAGCTTATTAGACCATGACATATTTATCCCTCTGGGAGATATTTAAAAGTGGATTGGACAAAGTGCTGGAAAATGTAAGGTCCTGTACGCTTTGGAGACAATAAGTCCCATGCAGTTGGGGCATCTGAACTGGGTTTAGATTCTTATTTTGTCACTAGCTTGTTGTGTACATGAGTTAGCTATATTTTGAGGTCTGCTGTTGGGAACTGCTGAAAGTGCAGAGATGCTCTGACCTGGGATTTGAAGCAGGGGGTAGGACCTAGTTCAGCTCCTGCTTTCTAGTTTCAGGCCAGTGTTTCAGAGATGCTGTGTGCATGCAGTTCAGCAAGTGACACTGAAGCAATTGGCTTAAGCACGTAAGTGGCAGTGTTTGGAAGTTAGTAGTTCAGGTCTATAACAAAACTGCGGGTCAGCAATTAGTCTCAGGCACTCTGGCAAAGTGCTTATATCACAGCTGACTCCCTGCTGTTCTGCCTTTGGAAAGCAGTGTGGCATCTGTAACAGCTGGTCAGGGGGTTGTTTCTGTCACACAGTCACAGAAGAGGCAGCAGCATAATGAGAATAGACCAACATGCAAGAAAAGGCACCAAACTAGGTCTCAAATCCCTCTTTGCTCAGTTGAGCTTTATTAGGCTATGGTTTGGGTCTAATCAATATCTATAGTCCTTTAACTCTTGTCTGTCTTCTTTTACAAACTGGTATAAAGGAAAGACAGAAGAAGCTTCAGGAGGTTTTCCAGCTCAGTGTGACACCATACTGATACTAATACCTGAGTGTGTGACCTTGTTAACTCGGTATACACGGGGTAGATACCTTTCTTCTGGCTGTTCAATGCATTACTTACTATTAATGAGAAGTGCCGTTAAATTTCTCCCAGCTTGAAGCCTCGCTGTGATGTTAACTTTCACACTGTAGGATCTGTAGAGAACTTCAGCCAAGGTTTACGAGAAAATTGTGGAAGAAAATGCACCTGTAGCTTGGCACTAATGGTGTTTGGCATCCCATAATCATTATAATAACAGCTCACGAGCAGAGTTCTGAATCGGAGTAGTGGGTAGAGGCATCCTTCTCGGTGTTGTGGTTTGCTTCTTGTGGGACTTGTTAGGAGCCAAGTTAAGGCTGCTATTTCCAAAATGATCAGGTAGCAATTAATGAATTGACAGAGTAAATAACCCACTGCTTATTTCCTGAAACAAAGAGCACCTGTGACACAGGAGGGGTCACTGCTTGGCAAGAGGCTTGTGTAGACACTTAGAAAGTTGGGACTGGAAAGAGAGCTGGGGACAAGTGGCCACACAGAGCCAAGGGTAAGCGTGGCTTGAGCTGAGACCTCTTTGTCAGGTGTTGGTGCCTCTTCAATGCCTCTTTCAGTCCTTTGATAATAAGCTCATGTGGGATCTGACCTTGAAGGAGGTTAATACTTCCACGACTCAGTAAAGCCAAGTCACGCTCCTCAATCTTGGATGTTTCTTGTTGCTTGCAGGCTTGTTTCTGTTTGTGTTGTTCTTTGGGTGTGTTGCCTGCGAGGTGGGAATTGCATTGGGCTTGGTTTGTTTGGTGAGAGAAGGAGAGGCCTGTTTGTCAGGTATTTTCTCTTCTCAGCTCCTCCAGCTTTTGCCAGCTTGGTCTCAGCCCTCAGGCTGGAGAGGCAGGTGTGAAGTGAGGTGAGCTATTTAAAAAAAAACTCAAAACCACACACGTGGAGCAGGCTTGTGAATGGGGGGAGGAGGATTTTTGTAAAACCTGGGCGGTGTGGAGGGCACAGAGGATCTGGACCTGTTTCTGCTTCACAAGGTATTGCTGAGAGCCTGCACATACGCCTTGGCTGTGCTGGGGTAGGGTCTCTTACATGTGAGCCCTGTGGTCGTGCGTGGGGTGACAGACAGCACTTCTTGTCTTCAGGGATTTGGTCTGCCATGAACAGAACCAGTAATGGGGAAGCTGCTTAAACAGCTACCATACTCTGGCTCTTGCCAAGCTGCCAGGCTGGGCCTGCCTTGTTAAATGAGTGCAAAGGTCACCCTTGAAATAAATCTCACGCTTGTGTTTGCAAGGTGGTGATTCCTTGAAATACCACAGAAAACACCCATGGACACCAGGGTCTTCTATGCTGGCGTTACACATCTTTTCAATGTTGTCTCTCATCTTGGAGGTTTTACTCCGGAGATACCAGGGCTGAACTTGCATCAAACTTAGGTCTTTGAGAGGTTTTGAGAGGAAGGTCTTTCAAGTGCCTGTTTGTCCTCTGGGTGAGTGGAGGTCACTTAACTGATGCTGCTGTTCCTGTGACTGCAGGATAGAGATAAGATATTGGCTTTCTAGAGAATGGGGAGGGTTCAATTCTGGGAAAAGCTTTGAAAAACATGGAGTGCTAAAAACAATGGCATAAAGGTCTATGGGCAGCCTCTCATTCAGTCCTTGTCCTTCATGAGATTGAGATTGCATAGCATGCTGCTATCTTCGGTCTGATACAGAAAGAGGCAATAAGCCTTCTACCCATGTATTGTTGAAAGGCAAGAAGGATGAGCACAGAATTGCTTATTTTCACAGAAAAGCTTTTTAAACACCATGTTATGAAAACAAACTCCTGGAAGATGAGGAAATACAGATCAGGTGCTTGCATTTTCTTGTGATGCCTTGGGATCGCTGTAGTATGACTCAGAAACGTTTGGATGGTGGAAGCTAAATTACAAAGTGAGGAAGTGGCTTTTACTTTCTAGCAGAATATGGAGCCTCTGTAGCAAGGTCTCTTCTCTGCTCTCCTGTAATACTCTTTCCCTTTCAAGGCTTTGCATTTGATGGCAGCCTTCAACAAAAGCTGAAGCAGAGGCACTTCTCTGAACAGAAATTCTGGGTGAGATTACAGAGGGCTGAGCAGAGTGAGTTCCAGTGACTCCCTTCACAAGTTTTTTTGCATGTAGCTGGGCTAAGTGGTAAATTATCACAACAAAATACTTTGTAAGACTCTCTACAGAGCCATTCCCCGAGTTACCTCTCTATGTGAGGTTGCAGCTGCCCACTGATGCCAAACCATGAGTGGGGTTTAGTGGATGGGAGAAGGAGGTGAAGTGAAAGAAATGTTTGCTTGTGGGACCACTAGCATTCCCGGAATGCTGCTGACAGATGGCTGCCAAGGTTACACGGGTATTTATCACTGAAGGAGATAAATCATTGCTGTGTCTTCCCAAAATGATGCTGCATCTTTGAACTTCTTCCTGAACAAAGCTCTTCTTGTTTTCTGCTAGGCTCTGCTTTGGCGATTGAAGGAACAGCGCCTGACTAATGACACTGGACAGCAAGGAAATGCAGTTGTCCTGGAAGACCAGGCAGGTACATTAGGGATGGCGTTCATTGTGTTTTGTATTTGCAAGGGGGAGCTTGTGTGAATCCAGGCATTGTGGATACCAGCATCTCCTGGCAAAAGGTTTATAAACCCTAGCAGTCGTCTTGATGCAAGGATTCATTCTGGTGGGCCTGCTGGGAGCACTGGCTGTGTCCAGAGTTATGCATGCTTAATGATTTCCCTTGTCAATATTTTTAGTGGGCTGCTTTCCCAGGACCATTTCACCTACCAGCACCTTCTATCCTTTCCATCTTCATAGTTGCTTTTTCCCGGTAGATGGGAGGAGATGCTGTTTGTAGCAATCAGTGCTGTTACGTGCCCTGTATGCTTATTTTGGAAGAGTAACAGCTCTCCCCCTCACTCGGTGGAGGAGACAGAGGTGCTGCCTTCTCAGATAGCCTCCTGCTTTGTCCCTAGGAGAAGGGCAGGCTTCTCCTTCACCCAGCTCCCCTGTACAGCTGAGGAGAGATGAAATAAAAGTTGGAGCAAGGATTCGCGATGAATCAACATCCCTTGCTTCCCCACCCTAGCTAATCCTAGAGCTGCCTGTAGGCTGCTCTGTTGTAAATGCTGCTGGTAAAATCACACTCCTGCCACTTTTCTTCCATGCCCTGGCTTGCCCTTGCTGTTAGGGAAGCTGCCAGGAATCCTCTGCTACGTATGCAACTGCGGGGGTGATACAAGCGCCGCTTTGTGTTCAACATGGCATTTAGGAGCTGTTTTCCCATTGCTGATGATCAGAGCAACATCTGTCTCCTTGTTTACAAGGATGCAATTGTAAGATGATCAGAAAGGCTGGGTTTCTGCGGCTGCCACTTATAATAACTACTGAAATGCATTCCCGTATCAGCAGGAAGAATCTCATAATATATAGATAGCCCCTCTAATCTGTTCTGCATTAGCAGATGATGGAGATGGTCCAGGCAGTGATAATGAAAGCTAGCCTGATAGAAGGCTGAGATCCTTTTAGTTAAAGCTTGATGATTTGTCAGGCTGAATGCTGTCTTGTTCAGCTCTTACATGTTGAGGTTTGACCTGGGAGGGGACTGCAGATCCCTGCACCCCTGGCTGGGCTTGTTGGCAGGCGTGCTTGGCTGGGCTGTTCCAGTGCTGCTGCCTTTGATATAATGCAAGCCATAAAAGGTGATATCTTTAGTGCTAGTCCCCAGTGTTCTCCCTAGTACTGGGATGCCAGCTGTGAACTCTAGCTTGAGCACAAGCGTCTTCAAGCACGTGCTTAAGCAAGTGCATGTAGATGAGTCATGCATGAGTACTGCGTATCTCAAGGGGGCAGTTGTGATTATGGGAGCACCTGGATTTGGGATATCTGAGGCCACTTTGATGTCCTGTTACCTGCCTTCCTCTGGGCAGGATCCATGAGTTCTGTAGCTCTTTCTCATTGGCACATACTCTTTCCCAGTTGCTGTTCCCCATGGGGAACTCTCCTGCTCTGATTGCCTGGCTTCTGTACTGAAATTCTCAGCTCCTCAGCTGTGTGCTCTGTCCCTTGCACAGACATAAGGGTTATGCTGCTGGATTTCCTGGGGAGCAGGGGCTGGATGAGGGGAAGATTTTCAGGTCTCTTCTGCTTTAATGTGCCTGAACAACGTTTGATTGTGCAGCACCTGTGGAATGTCTGGGTCTACTTTGGCTGTTTCAGTGGGCTTGGAGCTTTCTATGTGGCTTCCCCTCTTTTTTTTTTTTTTTTTTGGGTCATTATGATCTGTACTCTTCCTGCTGTTTATTTTCGTTTATTGCTTTTTTCTGTGTGAAGAGCTCCAAGCTATTCAAAAAGTGTATCCAAGACCTAGTGGATAAAATGGACTCTGGGATGGCATTTTTGCTGAAGATGTCCCCAGGATTGGAGCAGTCCATCTGTGGCTGTCCAGTTTTCACCTGAGGGAGCAGATGAGCTTGGCTGGGTAACCCTGTGGTGACTATAGCACAAATGATCTGTAAAACAAAACTTTCTCCTGCAGAAAGACATCTGGCCACTGTAATAATGGGGGGCAGCAAGCAGAGATGAGGTGCATTGCCCGGATGTTTTGTTACATGCTCAAATAAATGTATATATGGCTAGGGTTTTGGTGGCAGAAAGCCCTATTTTCTTGTCAGTGGAGTAATTTATATGTCTGTGTCAGCTCTTCAGGAAGTATCATGTCAGTGGAAATGTAAAGTCCCCTGATCTTTTAACTCTTTGGCCTTACTTAAATTCTCTGAGTTCTCAGCAAACTAAGATTAATGGAATGGCTTTAGACATTCAATGGGAGCTTGTGTTGCAGTGACCTTACTGATTGCCACTGACGAGTGGCAAGAATAGCAATTTTGAGCTTTTCAACAGAAGCAGCTTTTCGTCACTGTTGGAGATGGATCTTGTCCTTTTTGGGTGAGGAGCATCTTGGTGTGCAGTAGGAGGTGCTCTGTAACTTTCAGCACTTTTGGAGGTTTTACTTGCCAATAGAGATTTGGAAAAATCTAGGAAATGAATCAGTTGACTGTGGTGGAGAAACGTAATTGTTGACCTCCTTTAAATGTTTTCTTTTCAGTGTGGAGGCTGTACTGTAGCTTGAAGTGTCATCTTTGTGGTCTGCTCTTCAGAAAAAGCAAGAAAAGGCTAAAGAGAAGGTGGGGTGTTTAGGCAATATGCTAGACTGCAGCTCAGGAAATACTATAGGAGATTCCAGCTGGATTTTTGAGTAGGCTACGGATGACTGACACAGGCAAGCCATTAAATGCACCCGTGACCTTGTATTTGAATCTCAAGCTCTTTGGAACAGCCTACCCCTTGCTAAATGTCTGTAGAGTGTCTAGTGCAGTGGATGTGGTTTCTGGACCAAACACTTGGAGGTTTCTGTTCATAAAACAGCAAATAATGCTTACCTGTTTCAACTGCGCAATTAGTCTGGAAATCCATATCCTTTACTGAAACTTCCTTTGCACTGGTGCCATCAGCTGTGTTTGGAAGGACAATGTGCCTAGCCATTGGCAGAGGAGCTGCCAGACTCCTACTGCATCCCCTTTACTTTTTTTTGGTATTTGGATGCTTTCTTTCAATGCACTTGGCCAAGGCTGGCTGCCTTTTGCCACTGTCATAAGCAAAGCAGTCCTTGTGCATCTGGATAATGTGTTGTTGTCCATCAAGTCACTGGCACAGACTTCCCTAACTCAGTGCCATACCCTCTTTGCCACTTAGATGGTTTGTGTTTGCACCCAGCCATGATACTCTCCATGATGTTGATTCTCTCTGATGCGAAGTCCTCTGGCCTCACAGGCCTTTATTACTTACCCCAAAGGTTTTATTTTAATCCAGCAGCTTGCACTATCACCATCACATTTATACTGTTTCTTTACAACTGTTTCTTCAGTTCACCTTGTTCTGCCAGGCTGTCTTACGGCTCCCTTGTCAATCTAGGTGGCAAAGCCCTTGAAGAAAGGGGCTAGCAATGGCTTAGTCCTGCAATGCTCAGTCATAGCTTGTCACTTGGTAGGGAATGGCCTCTAAACCTTCACTCACAGTACAGATCTCATTATATTTGGTAGGCTTAATTATAAGGCCACTAGAACTCAGGTGCAGCCTCCAAGCACAATAGTAATATAATCATTTGGGTAGCTGCCTGTGCTCTGAGACCTCATAATAAGCAGAGGTGGAGCAGGTCGTATTTTGGCTTCCACTGGGTGTACATTTTGATGGATGCAATGGGGATGTCTGCAGTGTTCTTGACCTATTAAAATTGCTTCTATTATGCAATTTCCCATTTGAAGGAGTGATTACAGGTGCAATCCCATATCAGTTTACACTATTGATCATCCAGTGGTTATCCTGTTAGGATCCCAAGAGTGCTTGTACTTGTTTCCAGATTTTTCCTTTTCAGACTGTTTATATAAGAGGAACCTGGACATCAGGACTCAGTTTTGTCATTCTAGGTGAACCAAAGAGGAGTCGCACACCTTCAGCCCCTCTGTTCCCTGGCAAAGGGCATAAAGGCTATGCTGTATTCATACCTACTTGAGGAGCATTAAAACTACTTCCTGGCTTTCTGATCTGTATTTTAGCTTATTCCATTGTAGATATGCCTGAAGCTCATCCAGAGTGCTGGATACCCAGGCACATGTGTCCACCTCTGTTTGTAATTATGATACTGAACAATGTTTACACATGAGGGATAAAGCAGGACAGCCTCCCTGGTTACTGCAGTGATTTGATTTTAGGTGCACTGACCATGATGACCTGAGCTGGAAGTTAGCCAAGAGCACTATAGTTAACAGGCCTGCTTTTGGGTAAAGTGGTACAATACCTTCAGTGACCAGAGGAGCTTAGCTTTGTTACTCCTAAACTGTTGTCATCATGGCGCTTTTTATGCTGTTCTTGAGTTTGCAAGGAGAGGCGAAGGGAGAGTGCAGTCTTAGTGAGTAGAGGGTGCTAGGGGCTAGACAGAAGGCACAGGGCACCTTACTGGAAACTGTGACACATGGCACACTCCTGTTCTCCTCCACTCGGTTCACACTGGCCATACCAATGTCCCCTGCTGGCATTTCCCTTTGTCATCTTCCTTCTTTGACATCTTCCTTTGTCAGTAGATCTTACTGACTCACTCTCCTCTCAGCCCTGTAGTTGCATTTTTCCCCTGCAGCTTCACTCAAACCTCACGTTTGAGTGTGCTCAGCCTAAAGCTCCGCACGCCGTCGGCTGGCTGCGAGCAGGAGCCCCTTCAGCACTGGGAGAGCTCCAGCAGGGCATTAATCAGGCTCTGCGCTGCTCCGCTCGGCACGAGGGCTGCAGGGATCGCAGCTCCAGGCGGTGCTGATGCGAAACATCCGATGCTATCTGGCAGATGGGAGATGTTTACTAATTAGTTTGCCTTAGACAGATTTTAAATAATTTTGTTCAGATTAGGGTTTATGCTCTGCCTAGCTCCATGCTGAGTTCCAGAGTCAGGCTGGGGTGTTGGATTTTGATTGACAATGATGTTTTTTTGACCAGGCATGA